AGATAAAGGGCTTGGCATACAAAATGAGTTCTAAGAAGTTAATGACCATTGCATGCTGCGTGATTCATTGGCTGTTAGCAAAGAAGCCTTTCAGTCTATTCTTGGGAAGCTAAGTGGGTTATGAAAGAAAACAATTCCAGTGGTTTTTAGATTACTCAGATGACCTCAGAAATTCAAGTGCGGCAGTTAATACTGTGGGTGGTCAGAAGGCTACACCGAAGTCAGGGAGACTCATAGGAGAACATCCAGTAACAAATTATTGCGGCCGCACAGGAAGTAAGTGATGAAGGCCCAGGTGAGTGGCAACAGTGGCGAGGACAACGAGGGAACCCACCTGCCACTCCCTAAGGAGACACGAAGTTCTCTGCTCCAGCTGGCCTCAGCCAGGGCAGTGGGTGACCCACAGGCTGGAAAGTGGCCAGCCTTTAAAGACGAGTTTCAGAGCAACACGCCCTGACTTGTCCTTGCAGAGCGCCTTCCTTGGGAAGCTCTGGGCCCCGCGGGACCAGGACTCTGACTAGCTGTTGTTCACACACTGTCACACCTTGGAAGTGGACAGTGCCAGGGTTGGTTAATTCAATGACTCGGAAAGGACCCAGGTGGCAAGAACGTTGGGCTGCTGCTGCGCGTGCGAGTTGACTCACCCCCCTGGACAGCTGGGTGATTGGCACTACCTGCGCACGCTGGGCAGAAGCCTACCGTGTGACCTGCAGCTCCAGTCCGAGCTAAGCCCAGACCCTCTTCACGGCACAAGAGTGCCCGTGGCAGGACTATTTGCAGAAACTGTTCCCAATCCGGAAACTACCCGCACGCCTGCCCATCAAGAATGAAAAGCGATAAACGGTAACGTTGTCTCCCAGTGGAATTCTATCCATCAGTGAGAATGAAGGTCCTACAACTACACGTGCCGCGGGTGAATCTCAGAAACATGTCAAATGAAAGACAGCAGACGCGGAAGAGCACTGTGCAGGTTCAGAGCCCGACTCACCAGGCAGGGTCCCACCGGGCTGCACCCACCTAGCTGAGCTACAAAGGCGGAGAAACGTCTGTGTTAGAGGTCGGGGTTCTGCTTACACTTGGCGGCAGGTAGTGCTTGGAAGCTTCTAGTTACGCAGGTGTGTTCAGTGTGTGCAACTTCATGGAGCTGTATGCTCATCATTCTCGACAGACGAGAGACTCCAGAAGTTTAAAAATAAAGGAAAAGTGTCTGGTACCGCCTGTCTTTCCTTTCTCCCTTCTTCACGGGGGTGGGTCTTGTTTTGGGTCTCCCACCCTGGTGGCTGTGAAGCTGAGCCGGTCTCTAGCTCTGGTTCTGCTCTGACCAGTTGTGTTTCTCCCGGCAGGTTACTTTACCTCCCGACCTGTTTTTCTGTCAGCAACAGGTGGAGGCTGGACCCAATCCAAGGTCAGCTCATCCTTGCATGAGACTTCATTACTTTGAAGTCCGAGATACGAGGGCCTTGAGCTGCCGCCGGTGGTGTTTTTGAGGTCGGCTTGTTTCCTTCTGTGAGTATTTTTAATAAGCAATGTTCTCATAGCAACTCTCCATTCCCTGAAACACGCCACATGAGTACCAAGTAGGTGCTAGGAAGGGCCACACGAATCAAATGTTTTCCATATAACCAACTCTTCCCTCAAACTGGTCAAAACATGAGTTGCCTGCGAAGAACTGACCTATTACTAACTGACTTCACTAAATAACAGGCATCACAATGGGTGATGCTGGGATGTTAGTTTCACCACCCAAGCATCCTTACTCAGTGCTCCCAGCAGGTAACGAACAGGTGTGCTCCCTCAATGTGAGTGCATTTTCTTAAAAGGAGGGTGTGTGTGTGTTTGTGTATGTGCATGTAGGCAGCTTGAGACAATATTCCCCACAGACCTTGCCGATGAAGGGGCCGAGAAAACCTCTAGTGCCCTTGATTTCCCGTGTCTGCTCCAGAACCTGTTCTCCTAAAACTTCTCTTTCGAGGGCCGAGTGTCTCCCATGGACCATGTACAGTGTTAGTGCTCCGGAGATACAGACATGAGTAAAACACTGGCCTCAGCTTCAAGTGCTTACAGCCCGGGGAAGGCGTCAGGTACATCCCCAAAGACGCCCACACAAACCAAGGACTGAGTCTCAGAAGCCCAGGAAGACACCCACAGTCAGAAAGGTCAGGAAAGGTTTCGTGAGCAAATGGCTTTGGAGAGATGAGTAATGTTTTTCCCAGGTGGAGCTGGGCCTGGGTAGGGTGGGATTTCCAGAGGAAGACCCTATCGCAACCATGAGTGCAGGGAAAGGCATTGGCTCCTGAGAGTGAGTGAGCCCTTTAGAGTGGGGAGGGTGAAGAATTAGCAGAAAGGGGGCCTGGAAGGGTGGACGGGCACCGGCAATGCCAAGCAGAGGATACCATTGAATTTGGCGGGCTGTGGACAAGCCACTGGAGGGGTCTGCACTGGATCCCCTGCTGGGGACGTGTGTAAGCACCGCCCTTGGTTGCAGGGGGCAGCCAGTTCCTTCTGGGATCCCACCTCAATGCACTTCAACACATCAGATATGGAAAAGGTACCCTGCATGAGGCTCTCTACAGGTGGAAGTAACAGCAAACTCAGACTGCGTCTTTAAGAGCCCTGCAGTTTGGGGACAAGGAAAGAGAAGCCAAGCAGGGGTGGGGGGTGGAGGGCAGGTTAGACAAGGATACCTAGAACCACAAGTCATCACATGAGTTGTGAAAGAAGCATCATGGGAGTCTTGGCAAAGTGCTCGGGTCTTCCTAATGGGGGCTCCCCCTGACCTTCCAGTCTCCTTGTCTAGACTAGACTGTAAGCTTTTTTGGCCAGGCCTTGCTTGTCTTGGCATGGCCTGGACTAGCTCAGTGTCTGGCACGTGGCAGACAGTCATTGAAGGAAGGAAGGCAGGAAGGGAGAGACAAGTCCTCTCCTGTCATCTGTCATCTGCCAAGGGTGTCTGTCTTTAAGTCCACCTAGCATGGCCTACCTTTGGTCCATACTGGCCCTTTCTCCTCTCACCCCTGTTTTGCTCACCTCCGTCCTCCCTCCCTGGTGGCGCCCACCCACACCGTCTTCCCAGACCCGATTCTTTCATTGATCGCAGAGTCTGTGCTGCACAATTTAAGCCCCTGTATTCCTTGCAGCTGTTTCCTGCGTGCTATCGTGTAAACTCTTTGAAGGCTGAGTCCCCTTCTTAAATGATTGCATCCTCTAGACTACAGAGACTGCTGATTGACTGGGAAATAGGGCCTGTCAGGAGGAGGGGGCAGAAGCTGACATCCTGGAGTGCCAGGCGTTGGGCTGTGCTGTGCATACACTCACACAGAGATGGACACTATGGCCTAGTGAGGGGAAAACTCACTGGGCGGCAGAGCAGGCCCTAAACTCACTGCTGAGGACAGAAGAGGGGGGAGTGTGTCTGTCTGCAGCGTGCGGGGTGGCTGGAAGGATTTGACTGATGGGAAATTTTGGAGGGGACTGCCTAGAGGAGCCACGGACCCTCCTCTCTGAATGTCCTTAGAGGGGATCATTAGCGAGCTCAGGGTCCAGGACACACTGACTTCTCCCCAGCCTCGCTGTCTCAGTTTGAGTGACAGCAAGCAAGGAGCGGTCTTTGGGATAAAGTGTCTTGGAGGAACTGTTGCTTTGCCCTTTTGCTTTATGATCTGAACGTCGAGCAACTGAGGTTCAGGAACATTAGCTGACCGCAGGCAGACCGATGTTCCTGTGTAGAGAAGGAAGGAAGACTCTCGTCACCATCAAGCTCATTTTCCCAAGGGATTATGTATTCTGTGGTCAGAAAATGCCTCTCAGACCTGCTCCTTTCAAGACAAGCCTGATCTAACTTCTCCTGCACTTGACTGAGTACTCTTCTCACGGTAATTGTTTTCTGCAGAGGGGCTGCCTGCCCACCAGATTGTTCGGGGCTGGTGTCAAGCCCAGTCACTTCTGCAGGATCTCCGGAGAGTGAGTGCTCACATTCCCTAATCTAGTCCTTCCACCAACCCTGTGAAGGAGGCTCCATGATTAACTCCCATTCTCCAGATGAGGAACTGATTCTCTGAGAGGGTAAGTGGCACCCCCAAAATCATGCATCCTGTAAGGAAGAGTATTTTTTCTTGACACTCTGCTGCCTAAATGAACTATGTAGGCTGAATAAGGCATCAACTTGGTCTGTCCTGTCACTCATCTATCTGATCCCACGGAGCAACGTGCATTATGAAATTTCAGGGGCAGGTACATGAAGTCCAAGCTTCGCATAGAGTGAACAAATGCGCGGATGCATTGTACAGTGGATGCTCTGTATGGAGTCATTGGAAAGGAAACAACTTAAGGGCAATCAATCTTTCAGACCACTCACCGGGAGTCTACTCAGTGTGTCTGGCATTGGAGACCCGAGACAGCCTTGCCCTCATGGGGCTTACTGTCTATTGCAAGAGACGCGTTAAACAACTAATATTACAGTAAAGTAATCACAATTTCGTTACATGCAACTAAATGTAGCAGAGAGCTATGCTCTGGTAGGAGGGAAGAGCGACTAGGGCTCACTGGGGGAAGGTCAGCTTTTTTTTGGGCAAGGGGATACATTGAGATAGGCAGAAGCAGAAGTCGAGGCAAATTAAAAATGCAAAAGGAGGAGGGAATTGCTTTTCACAAATAGAACTCGACCAGAGGGCCCCGAACTCCCCAGTACCACTGCTGCTTAGGGAATCCAGGAAAGAGAAAGCTAGAGAAGGGAGAGGTCAGTTTCTGCGGGCAGGGCGGGCGGTAGGGAGGAGGAGAGACTACAGCTGGTGCGGAGGGAGTTAAGTGGCACCGTCCCGGGACCGAAAGGGTTAATCGGGGGCGGGCCGCAGTGCAGCTGATAGGCCCGCCCACCGGAGGGATGAGGTGTGGCCTCAGAGAGTGAGCCCTCGGATTGGCCGCGGGGCAGGCGTTACGCTAGGACGGTACCAACAGTCCGGAGCCGCGGAGGCGGGGGTGGGTGTGGGCCTGCCGGCTGAGGCGCGGGGAGAGGTGGCCAGGGAATGGCCGGGCCGGGGGTAGGCGGGAGCCGCCGTGGCGGTGGCTGCGACGGCTGGGGGCGCTGAGCGCGGCGTGGGGCGGCCCCTCCGCGGAGGCGGTGGGGGTGGCCGGGCCGCACCGCACGGCCCGGCGGCTATGGAGCGAGCCTAGGGCCCCGCAGGTGAGCGTGAGCGGCGTGGGGGCGGCGGAGGTTGCGCGACCCCCGCCTCCACCGCAGCGGGCGGGAAAGTGCGGGCGCCTCTCAGTGTGTGCGGAGGGTCGGGGCCGCCTGGGGACGAGATGCCTCCCCGAGGGGCCGGGCACTGGTGCCCTGAGCTGTCCGCGGGCAGGTCCCCGAGGGAGAGCTGTTCGGGCCGCGCGCCCCAGCGGCTCGGAGGCGGGCTCCTGCGGGTGGTCGCGGCTGAAGGGATGTGGCGTGTCCTTGGCTCCCCTGAGGCACGGGCCTTACCTGGGGACACCTCGGCTGCTCAGGGCCGCCTTAGTGACCAGACCTGGCGCCTGGACGGGGTCCCGTGAGGCAGCTGGCACTGCTGCCGCCCTTGTGTCTTGCCGGTGCCGGTTGCGGCGGCCGGGAAGGATAGCGTGCCCCGCGGGCCCATCTGGTGGCCCGGAAGCACGCGTGACCTGCAGGCCCCTAGCGAGGGGCAGGGTAACCGTGACCCCTGTGTGCAGGGATCGGTGGTCTCCTCGGGGTCTGCACCCCGTGCTCGCCATCGGGGCGCGACTTGAGGAAATGATACTGTAGTCCAGAGTGGGTTGCGCTTGAGAGTTCATTTCCGGGTGTGCTGGCCCAGCGATTAAGAAAGAAGCTAAACGTTGCCATTAATGATGAATGCAAGCAGTTGTCCAGCTGCGTCCTTGACTTGGAGCTGATGAGTTTCATTCTAATCGGGCTTCTGGTACCTGCGAGTCTCTTGGGAGGAAGAGAAGGGTAGAAGGAAGTTGGAGGGAAAGCAGAGGGGACAGGGCATGATTGGTCGTTTCGGAATTCTGAGTCCTTCAGTTGACCACGTTATCATTGGGATGGCTGAGTTTATAATTTGGGAAACTGAGAGCTGATTGATACTCTGACTTGAGTGTAGGGCCGGGTATCAGTATCATCTCCACCCAGCCAGTTTCTCTCCCGCGGTTTGATTTCTCACCTTGAAAAGAAAGTAGGAATTGTGGGATCTTTTAGCTTTTAACTTGTAGGACTTTATAAATGTGTAATCTGGTCGTTAAGGTCGCTGTTTACTAATTATTCCTACCCTTGTGTTGTAAATTCATGCATTTCATTGGAGTTGATACATTTTAATTGGGCTCAAGAACTCAGTGTGCTTGTGTAGTACAAAGAGCCCTTGAGTTTATGCAGGACCTTTGAGCTAAGCCTTAGAGCACTTCTCATGCAGGGTGGGGCCAAAGCAGGTTTATGGTAATTAATAAGTAAGACGAGAAGACTGTTTTCCATACTCCCAACTGTAGATCTACTTTTGCCCCACCCTGTATCTTGTTATTTATCTTCAAGACGTGTCTTTCAGAAACCGAGGTACAGGTGTAAAGATGCCAGATTGCTTGCCCAGACTCAGAGCCAGTCTAAAGTAGATTTAAAATTAAAGGAATGTTTTGTTTTAAATTAATACGTTTTCTAAAGTTTGTCAAGGTGTTGGGCTTTGGCCCCAGAGCCATACAGTGGACTCAGTCCACAGGCGGCCGTTCCACGTTTGAGAGTGCTTATCAGAAAATCAAAACGCCCAAGAAGTAATTCAGACTCTCAGCCTTGCAGTGCAGTGCAGCGACAGGAATAGATGGAGGTGAAAGACAGGGAGAGATCTGGGAACTCGGAGCCTTCCTCCAGTGCGGCTGGGGGAAGTAAGGCGCCCGCACGCAAGTTCAGCGTTTCCTGTGTCTGTCGTCTAATCCTTAATGTCATAGAATTATTTTATGAGGAGTTGATAACTCCTTAACTTTTCGTCTGTTCTCTTGATTTCCATTTGTAGACTCCAGCCCTTTCACACAGCCTTAAAGCATCTGCTTTTTATCTTTTCTGAACTTTGAATTTCTAAGTTAAATTTTCTTTAACTCGCAGGGCTGCCTTCAGGTTCCCACACTTTGCGTGACCCTCATTTCAGTGGTAAACCCTGAACCCAGAGGCTTCAGCTCTTGAACAGATAAACCTTTTAGAGTGTGAGGGAAATGTGGATTTGTTGTTCCACTTATTTATGCAATCATTGGTTCTTACATGTGCCCTGACGGGGAATCAAACCCACAACCTTGACCATGGGGACCACGCTCTAACCAACTGAGCCACCTGGCCAGGGCCTTGAATTGGTAACTCTTCAAAGTAGTGACCACAGCGGTTGTCTCTTGGTCATTGCTGCAATCACACAGAGAATCAGGAGGCTACTTTGTTTTCTGTGGCCACAGTGGCAGATAATACAAAGGAGACAGTCTTGTGCAGCTGGTGTGGGTCACGCTGGGACCAAGTGCCCTGTGGTTTTGTAGAGGGGACGAGAAGCACAGTTGCAGGGAGACGGTACCGTTTGTTGTAATGGTGTTGATAATGGGGGTACCCTTCTCTCTGTACCTGCCAGCACACAGCCCGAAGGAGATGTGCAGGCGGTATCTGACAGTTGAAGGCATGAATGGAAAACATATGAAGGAAGGGGAAGTACTCTACTGCATATACTGAATTGCCTTATTCCTCTTTTGTGTAAGAAAAGATGCCAAGAAAATGTGTTTCAGATTCCCGTTGAAAATATGCTGCCAAGGTGGGCACCTGTAAAGGGTGTTACTTGCTGGAGCTGCCTTGAGTTAGATTGCAGGGGTGCCTGCCGATCTAGCCACCTGCAGCAGGGGCGTGGCCTGGGGTGCTCTGGTCAGGTGTGGCTGCTCTGGTCAGGTGCGGCTTCAGGGACTTGACCGCAGCCTTCTCTGCCTAGGCTAACTTAGCAGTTGGATGGGCAGTCTTCTTGCATTAATAGAAGAACTATAGCTCTTGGTAATGGCCACACAAGTAACATTGACCTTGACTGTCCATCTTCTTGTCCCTAATATTAGGGGTGGGAGTGGAGAGTTATTTCTCCCTGACGTGCTTCTCCAGCAGCTCCTCATTCCACATGATCTCTCTCTTTGCCTTCCTTGAACTGCCTCTGTAACCCCCAAGGACTAAGGAATTCGTTAGCACGGACCTGGGGTATGGAACAGAAGACCTTACTTTGCAACTGAAACTAGCCTCTGAGCAACACAATGTCAGCGTGACTGGTGGGGCCATATCTAGGAGAGACTGGTGCAAAGCTCTAACGTAATTTCATCTTTCTTACCCAAAAGCAAGAGAGGAAGGGCCTGTCTCTGGGCACGATGAGCCTCGGCAGGGGTGCAGCTGTCATCCCAGTATAAGAAGCGGAAGCTGACGTCAAAAAGGGTTACTAAGCTTTCGTGTGTGTTTGGGGTCTGTACTTTCTGGTGAGGTAAACAGCCTGTTCAGTTGGGTGTGTTATATAACGGGGTCAAGGACTGTGACATGATGAATGTGTGACAGAAGTAAGTACAGGCGAGGCAGCGAAGTCTGTCATTCCATGCTCTCAAATGCTGGCTTTCTGCGTCATGTATGTATAGGGGAGTGTTTCATGTTGTCTACAATTGTTAGGGAATAAGGTATTATGTGCAGAAATTCTTATTTTAACAATGCTTTTTGTGGAAAACATTTTACAGTGTATGATATGCTTTGTTTGCTTTTTAGACAGTGTGGTTTAACCTTTGTTCTGTTGACTCAAGGTCATTACCAGCATCCGTTACCAACAGTAATGGAGTGGGGCTTTGAGGCAATTGAAATATGTAAGTTGTTTGCCCCATCTGCTTATTGAGATCTGGAGTCTGCTCTTTATAGTCCATCTGCCTCTTCTTTCCGAGGTGGGACAGCTGTGCTTTTGCTGTCGTTAGCGTCCCTGCTGCCTTCTTTCTAACTTGCAGCTTCTGATCCTCTGCGGAGTGGCAAGGCAGAGAACCCTGCTTCCTGGAATTGAACGTAAAACAGCTAAGCAGGCTTAGTGAGGTCTGCAGCCTCCTCTCTGTTCATGGGTGAACTTTGTAACCACTGTCTTGGCTGCCCAAAGACCTTTTGCTTGTTTCTTGTTTCTTCTCTGTGGCTTAGATAGTGAACTTGCTCTTTGTGCTGGTGCATCTATGTTCCTGTAGTCCTCTCTGTAGGAAAAAAGAAAAGGATGTGAAGAATGGGTGTTGGTTCTTGCTTCAGAAAGCATTGCCGGTACTGCTTGAAACTCTGGGTCCAGCCTTGTCTGTGCCACTCCCGGGCAGTGACTTGGGCCGTCCCCAGTCTTCTGTGAGCACTTCCGGGTCATCGTGACTGCCAGTCCCAGCCGGTGCCAGGGGCCAGGCTGATAACGGCATTGTCTTGAGAGCTGGAAGCAGGGTATACAGGAGGCAGCAATTTAAAGTCAAATGTATAACGTTTGTATACATAACTGCTATTTCTGCATTTTTTTACTAGACGATATGTCTAGATTCATTTCAGGGCTTAGTTTCCCTACCTCTGTAAAAAGTAGCCATGTGGGCACCAGAGAGCTGAAGAAATTCTTGTAACCCCGAAGGTCTCCCCCCTTGATCTTCACTCCTGTTATTCCGCAAGCATTTTTTGGGAACCTCTCGTGTCCCCCTGCACTGTGCTAGCTTACCTGGAAGTACAAAGGGAGCAAATGTCCCCTGTCCTGAAGGAACTCACGATAGTGGAGGAGACAGCCATACCCCAAAAGGGTGTGTGTGAGTGTGTTTATGTGTGTGTGTGTGTACACGGGATCGTGCGGGAGCCACTCAGCCGACAGCACAGGCTGGAGGCTTTTTCTCCGCTGACTGGTGGCCCATCAGCTTAATCCCCCGGAACACGAGGTTGAACCACAGGAGATGTGATTATCGCATGCAGTGTATATACCTTTGCAAGAACTACAGTGAACTGAACAGTAACGATGGAAAACAGGAAAATCTGAGGGAAGAGGTTATGTTACTTGAAATTCGATATTTTGCATTTGTAGGGAGTGCAGTCTTCAGCATGGCCTTGGATGGCTGTACACGGACAGCAGAACAGTGACATGCTTGGAACCTGCGAAGGGTCATCATTCCTGGCCCGTCCAAAACGGAATGCACGTGCCCAGGCGCTGCCAGCGCTTC